CCACACCCGCTCATGGGCACCTTAACATCAGCAAGGAACGTATTTTGCAACAGAAAACTGTTCATTACATCAAGAGAATAATGATCAGATTCTAATCTGTGCAGTCATCTTTGAGCTAATGTCTTTTAGGTGGGAGGGACAAAGGGATCTTTAGGCAGTGGCCCACATAGTACAGTCAGCATGACTGTGAAATGCCAATCCCAACAGGTTGCCTCCTCCACACACCTATTGCACATGTCTATTGAAACAGTATGCCACTGGTTGCAGCTACAATCAAGGGACCAGGTTTGCCAGCTCGATGACTAGTTAACCACATCTAGAGGGGGCTTGGCGTATTTCATAGAAGTGAAGGTTGACACAAAATGAGATGTGCATTATTCTTAGCTTTGCTCCCAAACTGTAGACATCTCTTACGGTTTTTTTGTTTTGTTTTGTTTTGTTTTTTTATGAATCTTGGTGTTCAAACTGAGGGGAAGCTAGCAGGTTTGCCCATGAAACAGCCGTTCTTCCTAGAGATACTCTCTCTTCTAACTCATCAGAGCCTTGGAGCTGCTCACAAGGTCTTATGTGGGATGGTTTCTGGGCAACTTTAGTAAATGTGATAAAATGGCCAAGAAAACATATCCCTAGTTTTCTAGCCAAGTAAGTGTACTTCAGAGTGTACTTCAAATTGTATATGTAAGTAGGATTAGAGAAATCATACTTGATAGAACTAGAGGTTTTTTTCTTTGTTACCTTCTGTTACCATTCTCCACACTAAAGTAAAACCTTAGAAATTTATATTATTTCTTATGATGACATATAAATTAATGGAAACCCATAGTTTGATGGTGGTGTATTTTTGGTTTGGGATGTTTGGGGGTTTATTTGTTTTGTTTTTTTTCAAGACAGGGTTTTTCTGTGTAGCCCTGGCTATCCTGTAAGGCTCCTTAGACCAGGCTGGCTTTGAATTTTTGAGATTTGCCTGCCTCTGCCTCCTGAGTACTGGGATTAAAGGCGTGTCGTCACTACCACCCAGCACAATGGGACATTTTTAATGGTAGTTTTCTTGAGGTTAAAGTGAGAAGGGGAATCTTACAGAACCTCATTTTTCATCTTTGTTACCAGGAAAGGTGTACAGCAGACTATGTCAGTACTGATGCTTTGCACAGCCTTACTTCTCTTCATCTCTCTTGTTTTGATAAAGCTAGGTAGGAAGCTATTACACTTGTGAACTCTGAGATAAATACATTTGTGGCATCCAGCCTTGGCAGGGCAAAGGCATTTGAGCAGTAATGGACAGGTGAGCTGTGTTTGTTGGCTTTTGTCAGTGTCCCTCCTTCAGATGATGGACTTTACAAATGGAAGGTGGCCAGACAGCATGGAGAGAGGCTGCTGGGATTGGTCTGTCAGGGCGGTGTGGCCCAGTTTTTGTTTGTGTTGTTTTAGTAATAAAGTAACTGGAAAAACCTGTCTGAGCACTGTAGATAATGAGCCTCAGGGAATGTATTCTGCCATTAGTGAACCTCTAAAATGAGAGTTCAGCAAAGACTGGCCACTAAAGCCATTCTCTCTTTTCTATAGGTGGGCTTTGTGTTGGAACCCCGGGTGATCCCATTTGTTAGTGTGGTCATACTGCCTCTCCTCAGAAAGGGAACGCCACAAGAACAAAATGCCTTTTTACAAAGATTAGGGAAAGGCCTCTAAATTTCAAAGTATATCATAAATAAAATCACAATAGGATTTTATTTTTTTGTGTGTTTCTCTTTTCTTGAAGCAGAGTTGTTTGGGTGCTTTTCTTGAATTGTTGGCACAAGCACATTAAATGATGACTTCTTGTTAACCTGCTGGTAGGCCCGTGAAGGGCCACAGAAGAAGAATTGCACGGGAGTTGGCAAGCCTGCTCCCAGTTTTGTTTGGTTTCTATGCATTGGCTGCTGGGCTGTATCATTTCATACCTCTGAGCCTGAGCCTTCAAGTGCAAAATCGGGGCACTGACATACTGCCTCAGCCATATGGTGAGGATGGAGGCAGCGACTGTAAGACCTCAAGCGGTGCTGTGAGCTGGCAGGCCTTCAGATCCTCACTTTGTAATTGGGGACCAGGGCAGGAGGCCAGTCTTCATGACCTGTCCCTGCACTGCTTCATGTGCTGCTGGCCTTCCGTGCCAGGCGTCCAGGCCCTTACAGAAGCTTGACATCTCTAATTTTAGCCACTTGTAATTGCAGAAAATTATACATATACATCATTGGGGATTAGAGTCATAGATGGCTATCAGAAAAATCCATATAATGTTCTTTTGGTCTTTGGGTAGGTTTTGGAATTGGTAACAGTAAGATAGATTTAAGAAGTGCTGTCCTCTATTCCCTATTATTCTGAATAAGATTGCTCATTTTCATAAATGTTTGGTATTCTCAGAATTTACAGCAAAAGAGACTGATAGGTAGGAATAATGAGGGAGATGTCTGCATTGCACCCCTAAGTTTCAGGACCAGCTTACTTTGCACCTGAAGTTTGTGTTTACTTTTTTACTGGATGTGTTGAATTACCCATGCACTCAAAGAGGACCTGGCATGCTCTTCTCTGCAAGTGCATCTCAGGAATGTTAGCCACTTCATAGAAAATGTTTCCTGTTTCAAAGAAATAAAACTTCTGAACCGTTAGTACACTTGCCATTATTGTTATTTTTAAAAAATGTGAAAAGAGAGCAGGGCAGTGCCTCATTGGGTCCTCAGGGTGCTGCTTATATCTTACCCATCTTAATGGCAGCAGTGGAAATGGCAGCCATGACCATAATTGCTGGTGCTGTTTGCCCAGCCTGAACTGCAGTCCCTTCTTGGATAGGAATGTACATTAGAAATACTGTGTATTTTGAGTTATTTACTTATAACAAAATCCTGTTTACTTTCTGTGTTTTAAAAACAATCTGGTAGAACACATGTATTTGTATCTTCTACATAAATACAGTTGATGGTTGCCAATTCTTTTAAAATGTGACTTTCAGAATTGTTCGTGTTTAATATGCAGTATTAGGCAACGTCTTTTGTCTTTAATTGGCCAATAAAAACTCATCTGGCCTGCAGGTGCTATTCCAGATGTGGGGAACACCATCAGTCCTTTTCCTGATGCACCACATAGGCGTTTTACAGGTTAGGATGAGCTTTCCCCAAGCTCTGTGCTCTCTTCACTATGGACCTGTCCTTCCTAAGAGGAGAACAAAACCTGAATGCATAGTGAGGCTGGCGTCTGAAGTGCATTATCATCTATCATTGTTATGTCATCCCTGACAGGGAGGGGCGGTTGGATGTTATCATGGCCATGATGAAGATGGGAACCTGCTGTTACTGCAGACAGATGAAATGATTTGTTTGGGGTCACGTGGTTGGCCAGTGGCAGAGATAGGGCCGGGCCTGGTTATCCTTGACAACTGGCTGTATCCACTAAGCCGGGAGTTCATTAAGACTTTCAGGGGGTTCTCCCTACTTTAAGTGGGGGGGGGGGAGGTATTTTGTTTTAGATACATAGGAAACTTGTGAAAGTGGCAGAATCCACATGTATCCACCATCAAGTGTCCCTTCTTAACACTCTACAATCCTGGTACAAGTGTCACAGTGCATAAGCCAATATTTATCATATTATAAACTGAAGTTTGTACATGCTAATCAGTCCCCCCCCCCTTTTTTTTTTTTTTGCAATGGGATCCCATGCAGGGTGTGTTAGCTCTGCTTGCTGTGTTCCCTTCATCTCCCTTGACTGTGATGATTCTGGGAGTACTAAACAGGCTTTGTACCTGTCCTTTAAGTGGGATTCATGTTTTTCTTATGATTGGTTTTAGGTTTAGGTTTTGGAAAATCTGCCATTTTCGTCGAGTTTCATCTGGGATGCACAGTAGGAGTGTGCTGGTCCCTGTTAATATAGGCCTTGGCCACCCAGCTGATACAGGGTCTGTCAGATTTCTCCACTACAGATTACTCTTGTACCCCTTTCATACTGTGTTCTTGGGAAGGAAGTTACTCAGCCACACGTCCTGGGTGCGGAATGTATAAATGATGCAGGTTCTTCTAAGTGAGACTTACTCCCTCACTGTCCCTGAAACCCTGCCCTGCCCTTCCCATAGCTGCAGGTGAGTTGTGAAACTGTAGCGGTATGGACCCTAGAGGGGACAAGTAAAATTTCACACCCTCTGATAGAAGTGTTTAAAAAGTAACTGCTGGCCTTGTACATGTGGAGTCAAGGACTATAAGAGAACAAAATAGCCATCAGGTGACTAGTTTCTCAGAGAGCCTAGAGGTTTATTGCAAAGTATGGAGAGGGAGTGGTATAGAAATTAATTTATCAGTGTGAACTGTAGTATATAGTAAATATAATTACAGACTGAGTGTGTTGGCTCACACCTTTAATCCTAGCAGAGGCAGAGGCAGGTGGACCTCTGAGTTTGAGGCTAGCCTGGTCTACAGAGCTATTTCTAGGACAGTCAGGACTACACAGAGAAATAGCCTGTCTCAAGAAACTAAAGAAAAAAAAAATGTAATCACAGAAAGTGCAACAAAACTTGGGACTTTGGAAAAGCAGTGTCAGTGAGCTCCTGTTTGCAGTGTTTCTCCCCCACCACACACACACACACACACACACACACACACACACACACTCACACACACACACACAAAGCTTCCCATTGAACTCCGGCTTTGTTCCAAATCACAGAGATGCTTATTATTTAAAAAGAAAATAAAAATGCTAGCCTATAAAATTGAAGCTAACCTGGCAAGGTGGCTCAGTGGGTAAAGCCTTTGCTGCTAAACCTGATGACCTGAGCTCAGTTCCCGGTACCCACATGGTGGAAGGAAAGAACCTGTCCTACAAATTGCCCTCTGATGTCTATGTGCATATATGGTACCTTCCCATTTCCTCAAAAAATGATTCTTGTTTTTTTTGAAACAAATTGAGAGGTCTTTATGACTGTCTGTTTGGGACTGGACCGTGCTGGCTCACATTGTCCATTTTCCCTTCTTTCTCTACAGAACTCTATCCGGCACAACCTGTCACTGCACAGCCGATTCATGCGGGTTCAGAATGAAGGGACTGGCAAGAGCTCCTGGTGGATCATCAACCCTGATGGGGGAAAGAGTGGGAAGGCCCCCCGGCGACGGGCTGTCTCAATGGACAACAGCAACAAGTACACCAAGAGCAGGGGCCGAGCTGCCAAGAAGAAGGCAGCCCTGCAGGCTGCCCCAGAGTCGGCAGACGACAGTCCTTCCCAGCTCTCCAAGTGGCCTGGCAGCCCCACATCCCGCAGCAGTGATGAGCTGGACGCATGGACAGACTTCCGCTCACGCACCAATTCCAACGCCAGCACAGTTAGTGGCCGCCTGTCACCCATCCTGGCAAGCACAGAGTTGGATGACGTCCAGGACGACGATGCGCCACTCTCCCCCATGCTGTATAGCAGCTCTACCAGCCTGTCGCCCTCTGTAAGCAAGCCGTGTACTGTGGAGCTCCCACGGCTGACTGACATGGCAGGTACCATGAATCTGAATGATGGGTTGACTGACAACCTCATGGATGACCTGCTAGATAACATCACGCTCCCCCCCTCCCAGCCGTCGCCTCCTGGGGGCCTTATGCAGCGGAGCTCCAGCTTCCCATACACCTCCAAGAGCTCTGGCCTGGGCTCCCCAACCAGCTCCTTCAACAGTACCGTGTTTGGACCCTCGTCTCTGAACTCCTTGCGCCAGTCACCCATGCAGACCATCCAAGAGAACAAGCCAGCCACCTTTTCTTCCATGTCACACTATGGTAACCAGACACTCCAAGACTTGCTCACTTCGGACTCTCTCAGCCACAGCGATGTCATGATGACCCAGTCAGACCCTTTGATGTCTCAGGCTAGCACTGCTGTGTCTGCCCAGAATGCCCGCCGAAATGTGATGCTTCGAAATGACCCGATGATGTCCTTTGCTGCCCAGCCTACCCAGGGGGGGTTGGTCAATCAGAACTTGCTCCACCACCAGCACCAAACCCAGGGCGCTCTTGGTGGCAGTCGTGCCTTGTCAAATTCTGTCAGCAACATGGGCTTGAGTGACTCCAGCAGCCTTGGGTCAGCCAAACACCAGCAGCCGTCTCATGTCAGCCAGTCTATGCAAACCCTCTCGGACTCTCTCTCAGGCTCCTCACTGTACTCAGCTAATGCAAACCTTCCCGTCATGGGCCATGATAAGTTCCCCAGTGACTTGGACCTGGACATGTTCAATGGGAGCTTGGAATGTGACATGGAGTCCATTATCCGTAGTGAACTCATGGATGCCGATGGGTTGGATTTTAACTTTGATTCCCTCATCTCCACACAGAACGTGGTTGGTTTGAACGTGGGGAACTTCACTGGTGCTAAGCAGGCCTCATCTCAGAGCTGGGTGCCAGGCTGAAGGACCACTGAGGAAAGGGGAAGGGGACAAAGCAGGTCAGTAACCGTACATAAGAACATCAAACAGGTGGGGGTGGTAAGGATGACTGTCACCGTGAGGCAGGTGTGACTCTCAGAGGGTTCACCAGTTTTAACTGAAAACTGTTGTCAGTAGTAAAAAGAACACGTGTGTGTATATCTTTATACCCTCTGTCCTCACAGAGCTAAGACCCAGGTTCTCTTTCTCTGTGGGTGGATGGATCAAAGGTGTGGAAGGGAGGTGCTAAGGTCACAGGTCAAGGAGAAGAACTCACGTCCTGCTCTGGCTTTGCCTTCTGTGTGATGGCTCTTTACCCCCTAGAAAAGTAATATTTTACATGACTTCTGATTAACTGTAGGTGTATTTGTGGACCCGGCAATGTGTGATGCCGGATCTGTTAGATTATTCTTCACAGTGTAAGACAACATGGTTGGCGCCAGAGTTAAATCATTTAAAAAAACAAATTAGGTTGAAAAAATACATGGTTTTGTTTTTATTTTTAGGAGTGTTTTTTTTTTTGTGCATCTGTTTCTCAACCTATAAATGATATCAGGTACAGGGTGACATAGTTATGGATGGTGACAGCTTTTTAAAATTTTATTTCATTTTTTAACTGTATTTGACACTCAGCAGTTAGTTCTCATCAGCATTGACTGTCTAAACATTTTTAAGGTTGTTATCAGAGATATAGGTTACCACAAAGTAGGTGCCACAGCGTACACAGATAAGATATGGCGCATTCTCCATTCCTGTGGCCCAAACGGCTTTGTTGAGCTGGTGTCAGTGCTCACATCTGGAGTCCCGTCTCCTTCATGGCACATTTCTGTCTGTCTTTTACTGCCCAAGGGTCATTCTTCACACAGCCCACTCTGGCATGGATGTGCCCAGGAGTGTTAATGGCATGTTCTCAGGTCACCACGTCACTGACATCAGAGGTCCTTCTTGCCACTCTTTGGGGGAGCCATTCTGCTAGGCCCAGGTTGGGAAGAAAAACAGTGGGAGGATCATGTCAGCTTTTCTTAAATTGCAGTGGTTTAATGCTGTTGTAATAGAACCAGCAGGTGCTGTGACATTGTGAGAAAAGCAATGGGCTAGGACAGGCTGGACACACCTGTAATCCCAGCACTTGGGAGGTGGAGAAGATAGACATGCATTTGAAGCTAGCCTAGACTGCTCAATGAGGCACCAAGGGTCCAGTCCCACCTTTGCCATGTCAGCTGCAGTGATGGGCTTGTCACTTAGCTCCTGAGTGTCACTCTCTCTCCAAGTTCATATAAGGAAGATATGGTCCTGCTATTCCATAGGGCTACTGCCAGAATCGAAAGCACAAAAGAGTGTGAAGGGTTTTGTAAAACTACATCAGGTTGGAATGTACTAAGTGCAGTTGGTGAGCATACTGACTGACAAATGAACAAGCAGGGCACCACAGGGGTTAATTACTTTGCCCAGGTCATATAGTTAGTCCATAGTCAGTAGATCCATGACAGTTCTTTTGTTGTTGTAAATGGTTTAAAAAAAAAAAAAAAAAAAACTCCCTGGGACTCTTTTTCTGTATTAGAGAGGGGCATCTGGCTATTTCTCCTGACTGGTTTGTTGTTTCAGAGTGGGCCCCAGACACCCAATGTTAAGGGCTCTGTACCCTCAACTCCCTGTTTCTTCTTTTTTCTAATTTCAGTCTCAGTAAGCTACTTATCACGACCTTCAAATGCTACAAAAGAAACCGGGAACTCAAAGCCCTAACCCCAGTCTTGTTAGCCCTCCTCCCTGGGGTTGGAATTACAAGGGTCTCCTGTGGTGAGCTCACTGAAGCCCTCTCTGGGTAGCTGTCAAGGGGAATGTCAGAGCATTCTGAGTCTAAAGCATCTCAGTTTTCCTAGGCAAAAGCAGACTCCTGATGGAAACCCAGACATCTGCCTGCTATCATCATTTAATAGCCTCGAGCTGGTAAAGAGACTGTAACAGAGGCTAAGGGAGTGACATTGCAAGCCAGTTACTACCAGACCTGAACGTGGGCCAGAGACTCGATGACTTTAGATATGTAGATATTTAGGTTTTGGAAGAATAAATGGTTTGTCTTCCTTGAAGAAGAATGTGATTTCTGAAGACACAAGAAAGTTTAATTTGTTCCTCATCATTAGAAGTTACTTCCTAGTTTACTAGAAAGAATTATAAGAAAATGTGCTGTCAATTTTTGTCTGTTTCCAGTGTGGATTTCCCTTCTAGTTGAATAGCATGTCATGTGTGTTTATAAAGAAAAAAAAGTATAAAAATCTGTTGAGGGAGATTTAAATATATGATGGACTTTAAGTTTATTAGTGATAAATTTCTATTTGGGAGACCGTACATTTCATTGTTATACACCAATGAAACTTCAGGTTGTTATGTAGCTTTTTAGAACATTTTAAGGGAGGTGGATTTGATGTTGTTTTTGTCTTTTTTTTTTTTTTTTTTCTGTTTAAAATAAAGTGAGGGCTGGCAAGATGGCTTAGCAGGTAGAAGGGTCTGCCCAACAAGGCAGGAGCTGAGCCCCAGTATCTACAGAAGGGAAAGAACCAACCCCTGAAAGCTGTCCTCTGACATCCACACTTAGAGTGCATGCCCACACCGGCACACAGTATACACTCAGTAACAAAATAAACGACATGTTACATTGGGGCACAGCACACTGGCAGTCCCAGCACTCTTTGAGAGGCTAAAGCAGGAAGATCGGGAGTTTAAAGTCAGCATGGGATATACATAGTGAGACCCTTTCTAAAACAGAACAAAACAGACCTTAGAAAAATGTACTCAGTTTTCCTGAAAACAGCCCTGAGAGGGTGACAGGCAGGTCTGTTTTCCTGGTGGGAAATTTCCACCCTGTTTTAAGAGAACTATGTCAACCATCAGGAGCACAGTGTGACCCAGAAAGTACCTGGGGTTGTTTTTGCTTTGTTTTAACTTTTAAGCTTAACTTGTTTCCACTTCATTAAAGGTTTCTCTTAAAATTGGGAAAGAGGCCTAAAGGCAGGCTCTCAGCTTCATGCCCCCTGATTAGTCACCCAGCTCCCCGAGCCCCTTCTTCCTGGCTTGCCTCTCTTTGGTTATTTCTCCAGACTGGTGTGCAGTGTGCCAACACAAGGTCACATGACCCCACTGTGGCTAATGGAGCAGCTCCGGCCAGGTGACATTTTACTGGAGACCTCTGTGGCAGAGGCATCTCTGAAGAGCTGGGAGTCCTGCATGCATGCAGCATTCATTTTAGGGCCTGGAGAAAAGCCTTCTGCAGCTGCATGTTCTGTGGGTGCCAGCTCTGGGTGGGTAGGGCACCGTCTTCCAAGGTGCTTGTGGATTTGGCATCTGCACACGAGTGGAGGTGGCGGTGTGATGGCTGTCATCTGAGTGTCCAGTGAACCCTCTCGAGTTTGATAAGCATCCTCTCACACTGGAAAGCTATTTAACTCTCACCATTGTTTTAATATTGACTCCTAAACTCACAAGATCTTTCTCTGTTCTCCCTCTTTTAGTATTTGGAAACCCTTCGGGGGAGAATTCAAAAATGTAGTTTTATATTTAAACGACTTTATGATAAAAACTGGAAAAAAATCACTAGGGGAAGTTAGATGGAGATGGGAGGGATTGCTCTCCCCACTTTTCTGGCCATTAGCTATGTGAGTGATAAATCTCTAAGAATATTGGGCTTCTGTCAACAGAAAGCAGAATTGTAGCCTTTTCAGTGTGTGTAATATGCACCATTTAAACTTGAAAATCTACCCCTACCCAATCTGTAAATGGTCTTACTGGGATGAACAGTGAGAGTAGAACTAGAAAGAATTGGCAGTATACATGTGTAGAGTTGGAATTTAGGATTGATGCATAGCCTACTTGCACAAAGAGGCAAATCTATGATGCCAGTTTGACTTATGTTTGATTATCCTGATTCTGTCATGTCTTTAAATTTTATATTAGGAGATAATTCTAACAAAATGCAGGTAATATTGGCTATCTATGTTACATTTTCTTGATACAATCACTTCATTTTAGGGAAGTTAAAGTAAACATAGATTGTAGTGTTCTGTGTAGAGACTGACCCTGTTGTCTCAGGTTACAGTACACCTACCCAAAGAGTTCTGCCCCTTGCTCTTCTGAAAGGCTGGCCTGCCATCCATGGTGAGACTGCTGAATCTTTGGAAGTGGCAAGTTCTATTTTGTTTGTTTTTTGAGACAGAGTTTCTCTGTGTAGCCCTGCTGTCCTGGAATTCTCTCTGTAGACCAGGCTGGCCTTGAACTCAGGAACCACCTATCTTCAGAGTGCTGGGATTAAAGGTGAGCGCCACCACCACCCAGCTCTGATTGGATTTTTTTAGTGTTGATGGCAGGCAGTAAAAGAAAATTAGTAACTATTCAGTGTTTCCAAAGTTTCTTCAATGTCTTGAATCAAATCTTTTTTTCTTGAGGAAACCACAGCACCAGAACTGTTCTGCCTGGGTCTTTGTGCAGCGTCTTGGAGGCCTGTGGTCTCTCTGGCTTACTGGGTGTTTCATATACCTTGGCCCATAGCAAGTGCATCCCAGCCCTGCAGTGTGGCTGATACCGTGGGAGGAAATGCTCAGGAACAGCCAGAGTTCACTGAATGGAGTTGTCTGAGTACCTACTGGCCTGGGAGAGAGAAGTGAATCAAACTGTCTGTTCCTGGAGGGGTGCATAGCCTAACTGCAGTGGTATCCACCGTTTATCCTGTTGTAAGAGTGCCTTCCATGGGAATTTGAGCCACAGACCCAGGAGGTATAACTACCTTAGCATGCTGGAATTTCTTGGTCAACCCTGCAGACAATTCCATTGTTACATATTTTCCACATAGTCTTCCTGTGGGCATAAAAATAAAGGCTCTACTACCCTAGCAGCTCCATGCTGATAGGTCAAAGTTCAGGCCAAGCCCAGGTGCTGGCTTCTGTTAGAAATCCCGCAGGACTGTTCTTTTCATACTTGATTTCTCAGGCCAGTTGCTCGGCTTGGACATGAACACCTACTTCAGCGCATT